AAAAGGAAGTTGTTGACTACATTGTTTATGGCACTGTTATCCAGGAGGTGAAAACAAGCAATGTTGCTAGAGAGGTGGGTTAAATGCAGGAAAAAGCACTAGGCAGCTACCTTAAGATACTGTGTGAAGGAGACAAGAGGAATGTTACCTTGAATCCCTGGGCAGTCTGGTTTCAAAAGCAAAGTCTGTGGATTTCTTTGGATTCATCAGGACACTCGTCGTGTATTAACAAAAGCTGGCAACTCAGTTCTTTAACATCACCATTCTACAGTGTCTAGGGAACATGTCAGACTAGACTTTCTCCCATGTCTGCTGCTGGAAGGAAAGAAAGTGAAATTATTTATATAGTCATCTCACACTTTCAAAGCCACCGCTGTTCCCAAGCTCTGGAGGAAAGGTTAGTCTGAAGCACTGTGCTTTAGAAGTGCTTGGAGTGCCTCAGAAGCACAGCATTACACAGATGAGTTCCACCCTCCTTCTGAACTAATAATAAGGGGAAGGGGGACAGGTTGCCTCTGATCTTGTGTTGTAATTTGGAGAGTCTGTGGAGCACCCCTTTAGGTTAGCTTCAGATAGATGTCTGAGACAAGACCTTCCCCTTCCCCCCAGAGTAAGTGGTGTCCCATTAACCACAAATTTTAGACAGGCTACAAAGGCAAGCTGAAGACTGTGGTCCCTGTTGATGAAGACATGCTACGTGCTTTGGTGGTGGTGATGATGGTGGTGATTAGGGAATTAAATCTGTTCAGGTAGTAGACTTTTAAGTGGAAGCCCTAACTATATTTGCTATATTAATTAAATCTCCCTTTTTGGTCTGCTTGTGGTCTGGTCCTCTAGGATGTTGTATCAAATAGGATTAAATGCATGAGTCCTTGTACCAGTGTAGTGTTGCAAGCCATGGTGCTTTTCAAGTACAGTCAAGTCTGCATAACACAAGAACACTTGTGTGCAAGGCTTTGTAGCTGAAACTTGCAACATCAAGCAGTGGCAGAAAGGGATGATGGCAGGGGCAGAACAAGAGAGGGAAGCCTGCAGCCCACCTGTAACCTCCTCAACTGGATTGGGAACATTGGCTGTTAAAGCCTGGGCTCTGAATACCAAGGCCCAGAGCCCAGGCTGACTTGCCAGCCAGAAAACATATTAGCAGAACAAGAGCAGCAAGCAGAGAAGCTTGGTCTGCCAGCTAACATCCAAGTGATCAGGCTGCCATCGTGAAAATAATCTCCTAGAAGCTTCAGTGTTCTATGCAGAGCGGAGCATGGTTCCTGTTAAAATATAACATCCACAAGATGTGTCAGCAAGTTTATTCCTTTTGGATTAAAGGAGAGCCTCTGCTAGTATACTTTGAACTAGCCTATTGGATTCAGCTCCCATGGCAGAGCCTCTGCTTGGCAGGCAGACGGTCCCAGATTCAATCCCCAGCAACTCCAGTTAAAAGACCAGGCAGCAGGTGATATGAAAGACTTTCTGCCTGAGACCTTGGAGAGCTGCTGCCAGTCTGAGTAGAGAACACTGACTTTGATGGACCAAGGGTCTGATTCAGTATAAGGCAGTTTTCATGTGTCCAGTGTTTTTGGAAGTCTCTGACACCACAGATGGTGATGTAGAAATGATCAGTCTTCATCAGCACACGTTGACAGTCTCTCTTTTGATTATTGTTGCTCAATAGCAAAACTATGGGGGGGGAATATTACCCCTTGAACATTAGATAACTGAATGTCTTTCTGAGAATGTGAAATATGTGAACCTCCAGTAGTGAAGCTGATATTTTTCAGAAATATTGTTGCAGTTAAGAGTTAAGAGCATCCATTCTGTGAAACAGACTTGTTCCATCTGTTCTGTTATGTTCAGCAACACCGATAGTGTAATTTTAACTTGCAGTGCTGTCCTAACCTTTAACCCAGCTGGCTGTGTGTCAATTGAGGTGTGTCGGTCTGTGGCAATATGCGTTTAAGGATGTGTGACTCAGACATTTTGCTGCTGTCATGTGAAGCTGCTTCATACTATCAGACCTTTGACCTACATAGCTCAGTATTACCTACTCTTCCTAGCAGCTCTTCTCCAATGTCTTATGCTGAGATGTCGAAGTTTGAGCCTGGGACGGTCTGCATGTAAAACGTGTTCTACCAATGAACTCTGCAAACATAATCATGATTTATTGTTTATGTAACTCTTTTTCCAGAGCAATAATGGGCATCTATGTTATATTTTGTAAGAACCATATTGCATAAGACCAAAGTCTGTTTAGTTCTGCGTTTTGTTTTCCCCAAAGGCCAACCAGATGCCCCCAGAAAGCACACAAGAGGGGCATAAAGGCTCTACCACACTGTTTCTTCACCTCTGACAATTGATATTCAGTGGCATACCATACAGTACATGTTTATCCCACCCTTCCTCCAAGGAGTGTACCTGGTTTTCCCTTCCCAATTCTATCCTAACAAAAACTCTGTGAGGTAAGTGAGGCTGAGGGAGAGTGTATAGTCCAAGGTCACCCAGCAAGCTTCACAGCAAAGTGGGGATTTGATCCCATGTGTCTTCCTAATCATAGTCTGACATTTATTACTACTAAACCACAAAGGTCTCCATTAACTGAGGCTCCATTAACCATCATGGTTGATAGTTAGAGCCTCTCCACATGACCTGTCAATGCACTGACTGAATTTATGTTACTGGCACATGTCCGGCAACTTTAGTGGCTGCTCCCATGCCAGTCAGAAGACATTTAAAAACTTCCATCTGTGGGGTTACCTTTGGCGCTGTGGCTAGCAATCATGTAGACTGTACACTTCCCAAGCAGTGGTACCTCCTTGATTGATGACATCTTACATGTACCTACGTATCTTTGGGTGTTCTCTGACTGCATGAGAGACTGCATGTGGGAGCTGATGCAGTCCTGCTGGTAGGAGGATGCCTAAAGGCTGTAGAGATTTTTTAAAGTCCAAGTTGGCTCAAGATACTACATCTGCTGGACCACGCCGGCATTCAGTAACCCATTTTTTAAAAGAGGGGGCTACCCTTGCAGCATGCAGGAAAAACATTGTGCACTTACGAACAAACTGATTCAAATACCACAAACCTGCATCTTGAGTAGCATCAACAAAGTAGTAACAACTGGACTTGGTTGTGCTGTGAATATCTCATTCTTAAAAAGGTCCTCATAATGACTTCAGCTCTCAGTATGAATTTACTGTAAAAGCCTCCATCTTTCAGCCCAGGGTACCTCATGCCATTTTTTTGTGAGTTCAAACAAGGTGCAAGCTGTAAAGCTCTTTACATCTCAAAGAATACTGTAGAAATGAGACTGTTCTTGATGCTGTATCCGGCCAGTGCTTGATGGTCGCAGTGCTCTCTGTTTTGCAGGCTGCCCTGGGAGCTGGCTTCTCAGACAAGACTCCAGCTCACACTGTCACCATGGCTTGCATCTCTTCAAACCAGGCTATGACCACAGGTATGTCAGCCAAAAAGGGCAGTAACATGAGCTTGCTGCTGTAAATAGCAAAAAGGCTCAAAAGGAGAATGGTGGTTTAACAATGCAAGAACAATGCAAACTGAGGCATAGGAAATAAGCAACCTGAAACTGTGAACAAAGTAAACTTGGGGGGAAAGCAGCGTAAGAAAGATGGCCTTTTGGATAGGGATTTAAATTAACAAATGGGGTCTGTGCAGCAGCTGTGCTCCGAGAAAGAATTCCAACTCCCTGTCTTTGTGTGCTGTTATTTACTGCTGTGCTATTGCACATCGCCTTAGGTATTTTGTAACTTGTTTCAGGTGGATAGTTGTGTTGATCGGCAATCAAAGAGCAAGAATCAGGTCCGGTAGCATCCTAAAGGCCAACAAGATTTCCAGGGTATAAGCTTTCAAAAGCCAAAGCTCCATGACAAAGGAAGCTTTGACTCTTAAAAGCTTATACCCTGGTAATCTTGTTGGCCTTTAAGGTTCTGCTGGACTCTGTAACTAAGAGGTGATTAAGCAGTCCTATGAATGTGCAAAGGCAAGGCTAGGTTAGCTTAAAGCAGGGGTGGCCAAACTGCAGCTCAGGACAGGAGCCGCATGCGGCTCTTTCACACAGTCTAATTTAATGTTAATAAAAAGCAAATTTGCATATTTTCCACTAAAAATGTGTGTGTAATAATTGTTCATGTCTTGCGCTCTCAAACATCTGACGTTTATTCTGCGTGGCTGTTACGTTAAGCAAGTTGGCCACACCTGGCTTAAAGAACGGTGGAATGGTGTGGAAGGACACTGAACGTTAGGGAACAAATCTGCAGGAGGACATTCCTTCCCAAAACAAAAAGAAGCTTCATTTCTCTGCTAAATAATGCTGCTTCCTGGTGCTGTCCTCCATAGGAGTCGGTCTCATCGCTTCTGGCCAATGTGATGTCGTGGTTGCAGGCGGCGTTGAGCTGATGTCAGATGTTCCCATCCGACACAACAGGAAGATGAGGAAGACGATGCTTGGCCTCACAAGGGCAAAGACCTTGGGTCAGAGGCTGTCCTTGCTCTCCAGAATCCGTCCTGATTACTTTGCTCCCGAGGTAAAAATCCCTCCCCCTCCTCCTCTTTCTCTGTCTGCTTTCTGTTTGTTTATTCTGTAACTAAAGAGAATAAGTCAGATGTGGGCAAAGTACATCCATCCCATCCAACCCATCAGATTCTTAACAGCATTTGCCCACTGGACAGCATTGCCTAATGGGCTTGTGCTCCTGAAGAAATGTTGTGTGCTTCAAGGATTATCAAGAACAGTAGAGTTAGCGTGAAGGCCACATCTGGGTCTCTGCTTCTCAGGGCTCGGAGTTGAATGCTTGCTCTTCCTGTTTCCAGCAGTCTTGCCAGAAACAGGAAGAGCCAGCATCCAAGTTGGAGGCCTCAAAAGTGGGCATAGACCCAGATGTGGCTCTCCAGCTAAAAGTTAGTCTATCTCGGAGATATCAGGAATGGAAACCACTTCGGGAGCTCTCAGAATTGTGCCTGCAGTGGTTGGGTTACTGAATATTTGTGTGCAATCCGGACACCACCTCATCCCCTTTGCTACAGAGAGAATGGTGACCTAGTGTTGATTAATGTGGCGGTATGCAACAATCAAAATGGCAAACTTGCAAATGAATAGTAAGGGAGAACCAGAATCACATGCCCTGTAACCAGTGGGACCTGTCTGTGAGGGTGCAGAAGTATATGCCTGTCTTAGTAAAGCAAAAGTAAGAGAAGGTAGAGCTGACTCTGGGAGAGACTTTGCAAAAGGATGAAGTAGGTCTGGGAGAGGAAGAGGCCTGGCTGAGGCTGTTCAGGCATGGATGGCAGAAGGCCTGGTGGTGGAGGAGAAAGAAAGAAGCCAAGGGAGCTGATAGCAGATGAGCTTGTGATGAGAACCAGAAGTAAGATTAAAAGGGAATAGAAGAAGGGGGCAGTCTCCATGGAGAGTCTGAATGAAAGTGCAGACATTTGAGCTTGACAAGTTCTGGGGAGTGCATGCAGGTGGGGCCATGGTGGCTGTGCTGGCTGTGTATGCTCCTGGGAGCTGGTCTTCACTGAGTGCCTTCTGGCTTTCTGCAGCTGCCAGCCGTGGCAGAGTTCTCCACCAGCGAGACCATGGGTCACTCGGCAGACCGGCTGGCGGCCGCCTTTGCCATCTCACGTGCCGAACAAGACGAGTATGCCATGCGGTCTCACAGCCTGGCCAAGAAAGCCCAGGACGATGGGCTTCTCACTGATATAGTGCCATTCAAAGTGCCAGGTAAAGCAGCTGCTCAAAGGAGTGCGTGGAAGGTTCATACAGTGTTGTCATAATTTCATATGCCAAAAAAGGCAATGGCAGGGGTCAGAACATTTACTGTTAGTGAAACAGAGCAGCAAGATCCAGCCCGTTTCTCCTTCCCAACTCCCAGGTTGATAATTGTTTTGTCTTCCAGTATCTGCAGTAGTAATATCCAGATATTAAATCTCACTCACCCAATCACACCCAAATTGCACAGAGAGAAGTTCTTCCACCTGTACTCTGTTACCTGTAACTATGGATCTGGATCTATTTTTAGTTCTTAAACAACTAAACATCTGAGATACACAGTGTTATATCCTACTCTTGTTTTCTGTTAACAGAAGAGGACTTATAATGGAGTATTTTCACCAGTTACCTCCACGCACTGCAAAGCCTTACACTGCACCCAGTTCTTTGGCATCCTCTGAACCCCAGTGGCAGCAGTGAGGGGGGGGGTTCATGTGATGGCCGCAGTAGGAGGGGGGTAGGATCTGTCCTGCAGACAATATGATGGATATAAGCTATAGTTATGGTATAGAGAAACCAGAGTCCCTCCAGTCTACTTTCATGAAATTGCAGCCATCTTGAATTTTGATATGGCCTGAGTTAGTTTTGAAATTACTATAGTTGGTTCCCAACAAATGCATCAGAACTAGGGATGTGCGCAAAAAAAAAAAGGCCGATATTTTTCGGCTTTGGGTAAATCAGATCTAAAACATATAGGTAAATGCCGAATTTCGCCACTCCAATACTGGTAAGGTATTCGGATTGGGGAAATATTTGGTATTGCCAAATATATTTGGGGCTGATTTACACCACCAGAGGGAAAGGAGGCATATTAAAATGCCTTCTTTCCTGCTGGTAGCCCCTACAGATTTCCGTGTCAATTTCACTCCCTGCAAATCAGTTGAGAGTTAAATTGTCAAGGGAAAGCCTCCTCTGCTTTTCCTTCTCTAGCTGACAAGTCCTCTCTGGAGAAGGGCAGGCAGGGAACCCAGGCACGTTTAAAATGCCTTTCTTTCCCTGCCCGAACTGGGGAAGGGAAAGAAAGGCATTTAAACATGCCCCCCACTTCCCTGAGTTTCTCCGCAAAAGCGAAAAGGCTCAGGGGGGGAAGGGGGAATGTGTGCATGCCTACCCTTCCCTTTCCCAGCCCTTCCCTTTTCCAGCCTGCCCCCCGCAGCCATGGGGCACTTGGAGAAGATCTCCCTGATCTCAGTGCGGGAAAGAAAGTCATTTAAACCCAACAGCTGACTGGCGGCTCAGGCTGTTAGGTTTAATTGAGATCTTTTTTCGGTATACCAAAAAGAACCCGAAAAAAGCCAGATAATATTGATCTGTATTTGGCTTTATATGATACCTGAAAAATACCGACAAGGCATTTTTTGGTTATCTTTTTGGTTCGGCTATAGCCGAATGCACACCCCTAATCAGAACTGATTTTAGGATTATTAAAATACAAGAGCACTTTAAAATGGTAGAGCCTTACATGGCTAAAAAACTAGAAGTAGCTTGAAATGTGAAATGTGACAATAAAGTTGAGCAGACTGTAATACAAGTTACTCATGAATTGATTCCTCCCAGAAAACAAAATAGGAAACCTCCTTGCGAATGGCACGTATCCCCAAACCACTTTTCATGCTGACCACACAGTCTTGGTGTGGTGTCTTTCCCAGATTTACAAGCATTTTATTTATATAGGTTTAATTTATAGGTTTAATTTATACCCCACCCTCCCCGCAACGCGGGCTCAGGGCGGCTTACAGTCAGGCATAAGCATGACTGAAGCAACCAGTTTCTCCCCAACCCCTCACTACCATATGATAAAGAACAGGTGTATTTTCCTCAAGCAGGGTTCTGTCCTGTGTGAACAATAGCAGTTGTGGCTTCAGCGGTAAAATGCTAAGGGATTTACTGATAGGGATGAAGCCACTGGCAGTGATTGCCTAGTTCATAGTTTGAAGGGCCTCTGACGTACTCCATCCCTAAAGGCTGGTGGTTGCCATTGTCTTGACAGCCCTGATCTTGCAAGTGTACAGCTGCTATTTGCCAAGGATGCAGGGTCTTGGGGAAAGAAGCTTTGTAGGTGAAAAAGAAAGGGGGGGGGTGAGAATGGTCAGAAACCGAAATGAAACCAACAATGGGCACCTTGTTCTCTTAACTGGTTCTCTTAATCCTGGCAGGCAAGGAAACTGTTGTGAAGGACAACGGAATCCGCCCTTCTTCATTAGAGCAGATGGGCAAACTGAAAGCTGCTTTTGTCAAACCTTACGGAACTGTCACAGCCGCCAACTCTTCTTTCCTGGTAATGTTAAACCGGCGTTTCCCCCTTTTGAACAGTAGTACACTTGAAAGTTTTCAGCTGTTCTAAAAGCCGTCACTCCCAAAATCGTAGGCCAGAGACCTGTGATAAAAGGTTTAGCTGGTCAACTTTAATACATATATGGAATTCAGCCCTTCCCCATCGCTGTGTTCTTATGGCTTCCTGGGCTTCCTGGCCCAAAGCTCCTCATCCCCTCTCCCAGCCGTACAAACATTTATCTGCCCTTCCAATCAATATATACCCCCCAACTCTTTCTGTAAGCAGTGTGTGTAATGTTCTTCCCCACCACATTCCTGTTGTTGCCCCTTTCCTGCTTCTTCTGTCACTCTTTCCTTCAAGCAGCTGCCATCTTCAGCCGTCTTTCCTGAAGTATTTTCTCTTCCCTGTTGACCTTCCTTTCAGCCAGCTTTGACTCCCTGCTGGGACCTCTTTCCATCTCCCTTGCCCTGCTGCTTCCTTCTGGGAGTGCAGATTCTCCCCCCACACACATGTGGTTAGCCCTTCGGTGTAACTTTTCTCTCGCCCAAAGTGGCCTCCCCCCCCAGTGGGGGGGAGCTGAATGTCAATATTTTGTTCCTGGTGCCACCATAGATTCCAAGTAGTTAGAATGTTTGTGAATGGCTACAGCTGGGTTACCCTTCACCCTGGCTTTCAGTCGTGAATGAAATGACTTGGGGCGAGTTTTCCTTAAGCTTAGGGACCACTAGATCAGGTCTTTCTGAAACGGAATCACGTCTGTGCTGATGCCGCACCTTTGGAATAGGATATACATCCCAATAAATAATGGCTGCAATCAGTTGTTAAGGAGATGGAGATGACAGTGCTATTGGAGTACATGGGAGCTTTACCTTGTGAAGGAAACTGGGTCCCTACCGCAAGGAGCTTACAGTCTGAAACATGACATAAGGGAAAACAACTATGGGCAGGGAGCAATGCTCCCTCTAAGCGGTGGAGTCTTGTGAGCAAAAATTCCACCTCGTGTGCTCCTGGCATTAAAGTTGTGAGCGAGCGATTTGGCAACTGCAATATCAATATGAATATCAACGCCTTTCCTAAAATCTAACAAGACTCCTTTGGCAGAAGTATGGCATGTGAACTCACCCAGATCCTCTTCCTTCCCCCCACCCCTGGGTCTCATGCAGCCCCACTGCTGCTCAGCAGAGATGTCCTCTGTTCTGTTGCTTCACCTGCCAGAGCTTGTTTGGCTTCCTTTTTCAGACCGATGGAGCCTCGGCAGTCCTCCTGATGTCCGAAGAGAAAGCGTTGGCAATGGGGTACAAACCAAAGGCCTACCTCAGGTGAATGGAAGTCTTCCGCTTTCACTGCTGTCTGTGTTGTGCTTGTCCTCTTTCCTGCCCACTACTTGATAGTTCTGTGCTGTTCTTCTCTTATCCAGGGATTTTGTGTACGTATCCCAGGACCCAAAGGACCAGCTGCTGCTTGGGTAAGTTGCAGGCTATTGGGCCTCAAAGGCTGCTCAGTGTTTATCTCTCAAGCTGCAACATGAGCAGAACACCCCCAGCCAGCCCTCCGACTCTCTCCCCGCCCTCCAATATCTACACACACAGTGATTTCTGGCACTCCAGTCCTGGCTGCCAAGTATGCCAAAGGGAGATGGTAGTCCCATTCAGTGCCCCCTCTAAGCTGTGGAGTCCTGTGAGCAAAAATTCTGCTTTGTGAGTTACTGTTGTGAGCAGGAGATTTGGCTACTGCATAAATTAGTTTGCTCTGGAGCCATCCTTCCTGAGCTAAGATGAAAATGTGTGAGCCGGAGGCTAAAAAACTGAGCTAGCTCACACTAACTCAACAGAGGGAACACTGGTCCCATTACTCACTTGCAGACCACCTGCTGTACAGGTCCCAGGTCAATCCCCAACATGTGCGTTGGAAAGGATTTCTGGTGATAGGGTTGCAGTAGTCCCTGTCCCTTCTGCCCCAATCCCTTTGGCACTCAGTTACCTCAGCTGGAGGAATGGATTCTTAACTGTTTCTCCCATAGGCTGTTTCCCAGTCAGAATCTCTCTTTTCCACCCCTAAGCCTGCTTTTCTGCCTGCTGAGGTAAAAGGTATGTGAACCCTGATAGCATTTGCCCATTGCTCTAGTCAGATTGGATCTCTACAGAGCCACATTAAAGTGAAGAAAAAAACATCAGGAGATGCTTCTTCATGTGTCGCCTTACATCTCTGGTCTGGTTCATCTTTAGTTTTTGCAACAAAAAAAAGCGCAACACAAGTAATATTTTTAGAAGGGTCCAGAATAATGCTTACAAGCCAAACATCTTTGATAAATTTTTAGAGTCCAGCATATCTGCTGTTTCCCTTCTGACCTCAGTGAAGACAGAAAAAATGCAGTGGGATGGCTTCTCGCAAAACAGTCTCTAGGGGCACTCCCCATCCCCTTCTTTTGCCACTTAAAAATAGTTCTGGCTTTAGGATGTTGTACATATTAGATTCCATGTCAAAAATGAAGTCAAATGAGGAGGAAGTTCTTGTATTTTATTGTAATGAAATACGGAAAACAGTTAGGCCAAAGGACCCATCAAAACTGACTACTTTCTTCTCAGCATAATCAGGAAACATGCCTCAATTAATAGGAAAACAATGAGACCAAATAGTTAACCGAAACTTGACAACTTTCTTCTTTTTCTTCTTCATCTTCTTCTTGAGCATATTCTGAACATATTCAGGAAATACATGATATTTTATACATGGACTGACATCATCAAGAAAACAATATTCAAACAGCATAATTGGTTACAAAAGACAGTGTTCATTTGAGTAATAATCCTCTGATTGGCCAGATATAAACATATCTACGTCAAACTAAGTGTTTACTTAACCTAACCTAAATGATAATGGGCAAGGATTCTTCATATCAGACTAAAATCTTATCTGCCCTAAGAACTACAGAATCATAAACTTTGTACCTATTATGTTGTCTGCTAACAATATCAGACCTACAAGAGGAAAGCCTTCTATATAACAGGCCTTTCTGACATCCTAATAAAATATTACTTAAAGAACAAATCTATAAAAACCAGAGAAATATGAATATGAACAATCAAGAAGGAAAAAACCTATATATGAAAATCTTTATATTCCCATTCATACTACAAGGATAAGGCAGCTTAATATTTTGTTATGGTTTCCAAGAGCTAGACTGGAGGTACTCCATGTGAGTAGCAGCAGGTGTGTGGAGTACAGACCCTGGTGAAACAGGTAGTCTCACAAAGGAAAATCTGGCATGTGTCCTTTCTCCCCCAGTCTCAACGTAGTTTGTCCACAAGGTGGAACCACATTTACAGCTGTACTCAGCCAAGTGCAAGTGTTGATCTGTTAACTAATGGCAAGAATACAAGGCAAACCCTTCAAGGGCTTATTCTTGAATACTGAAAGGGGGGTGGGGTGGCAGGTGCCTTCTGTGTTGGTATTTTCAGCTCTTCTCAAGAAACAGATGTCCCTCTCCACAAGCCCCTGAGTGCAATGCTTTTCTTTCTCCATCAGCCCCACCTACGGTACTCCCAAGGTGCTGGAGAAGGCTGGCCTGACTATGGCAGATATTGATGTGTTTGAGTTTCATGAAGCATTTGCAGTAAGTATTTCTAAAGTTGTGTGTTAGGAGGGGCTCTTGGGATATACCCTCCATTGGAAGAAAAGCCACACACCTTTCCTAATCTCATAACCAAAAGGGACTGAACTGTGTGCAAGGAAATCTTGGGACTTGTGCATCCAAAGTGAAACATGCAAATTGAGTCCTGTCATATAAAAATGCCTTCTTTGAATTGTAAAACTGAGGACAGCATCCTTCACAGACTGTTCATTGTTTAAGTGTCTCAGTTGGGCTCCACCAAGAAAATCTAACTAAATTATACACCTTGTAGCATTGTTGGTGGGGTTCAAATCTCAGTTCAACCACACAATTGCTGACTGCATTCAAACGTTGCAAAAATCCTCTGTCCAAGGTGGGCGTGAGCACAGTTTATTTCCGTGTAGTTCTCTCCCTGGAGGTGATGTGCCAGGAGCATGTGAGCACAATAAGTTGGGTTGGTGCCCTTGCTGGAGGAACAGGCTTGCCACAGTGTTTGAATGCAGCCACCAAGTATCCTGTGGCAAAGCAAGAGGCATCTCTCAGCCCTTGTTCCCCATTTGCAAAATAAGAACAGCTGACTGCTGACCTCACACTATGGTATTTTATTTATAAATGGTGATAAAAGAGTGACCTAAAGAGTCATCCAGCATGGCACCTTTCCTGGTGCCTGGCAAATGTTTTTAGGAAGTAGGCAGGGCCAGGTACGGTTTTTGCCCAGCAAGGATTCTGATTGACTATTGGAGATTTGATGAGCTGTGCAGATTATTTTTGAATGTCGCTTGGGCAGCAGCTGCCACCACAGCACAAGGATCTGCACCGTGTGACTGAAGCTGTGCCAATCATTTTGTCGCTGGCTCCGCCTCCTGCGGCAGCCCTTTTTGTTCCTGCACCCACAGTGCTGTGTCAGAATTCCAAATGTGCCTGCAGGCTAAAAAAGCTTGGGGACCCCTGCTTCAGATGGTAAAAGGCCTCCGTATGTTTCTGAGAGCTGCGGCAATATGTAAATCTTGGGCATCTGCCCTTTTATCAGTCAGATGTCTCCATTCAGAGAGGCATAAGAGATCCCCTTAGTGCAAGCTTTTGTGTGCTTGGATCTGACTTGGCAGTTTCTCTTCTATAGACTCATTTTTTTTCTCCTTTCCCACTTAGGGCCAAATTTTAGCTAACTTGAAAGCTATGGATTCAGATTGGTTCGCTCAGAACTACATGGGCAGAAAGTCTAAGGTAAAGTTCTGGTTAGCAATTGTATTGTAAATCTCTGTGTTTGTGCCTAGTTGAATCCTGCCTGCCCGTGGCTCATGTCCCAACCTCTCCATGTGTCTTTTGCTTGTTTGCGGGGGAGCAAAGGCCACCTCATACTGGACACCATTGGAACTAGCTACTTTGAATAACCCGGTCCCTCAGCCACCCCAGCCTACTGCTGTGCAAGGAGCATCCCTGCAGTGGTCTTTATGCAGCCACACTGGCTGGCCTGAAAACATTGCCTCATTTGTGTGTGTGTGTGTGTGTGTTGTCAATACTAGTCTTCCATTACTATGTTCGTAACTTACTGTATCCCATTATAGGTGGACTTCTGTAATGTATCCAAGGTGGGGATTTTGCTTATGATATTCCTGCTTCTTGCAGGTTGGAGCCCCTCCTCTGGAAAAATTCAATAACTGGGGTGGGTCTCTGTCACTGGGACACCCCTTTGGTGCCACCGGCTGCCGATTGGTAATGACCGCTGCCCACAGATTGAAGAAAGAGGGAGGACAGTATGCTCTGGTTGCCGCATGTGCTGCTGGAGGACAGGTAAGAATGGGAAGGTTTGCCTGTCTTGCGTTCGGCAAGTTCTGTACACTTTGGGGCATCCGCATTTCAGGGGCAAGGAAGACCTGGTTTGCCTCTGTAATGCTGCCTTCCCAGAGTTATGTTTTCCTCCTCCCCCCTGTATAGTCTGTTCATCCATGCATGTCTCTAATCTAGTTGTTGCTGTTTATCTTGCAGGGTCATGCAATGATAGTGGAACTTTACCCGCAGTAAAGGCGCGAAGAACTGCTGCAAATGGCTTTTCCTGAAACAACGGTGCCATTCCAGTGCCCTTGTGTAACATAAGTGTATCTGATCCTTTGCAGAAAAGGACTTCTGGTGGCCTTTGTAAATATTTTCTAAATGCCTGTGAAAGGTAACTAAGAGTAGGCAGATATGTCCCTGAAAAGTTCGGTCTATTTATGTCAGTAAGGGGTGTCTGCAGTTTGTCCGACATATAATGGTGAGTTTCTCTGTCTGAGAACAGTGTTCAGGAGTGCAGTAATTCTGAAAGAGAGAGACTGGCTAGTGACAAATGGTTCAGGCTTTAACACACAACTTGTATGAAAGATTAGGCATTTTAAAAAGAATCTGTAATCTGGACTGAAATTAACTAGGGTATCTTTTACAGTGGAAGGCTAGCACAAAGTTGTTGAGGCAGCAGGAAGTGGGCAGTGAACTACTTTGGGGTACAGTGTCTGTCACCACTCATCAGCCTTAATAAACAAGAGAAATGTCAAGGTGTTGGTGTTCCTTGCTTTTTATCTGCTGCTTTCACAGTTGTGCTCATTGCAGCAGCTGTATGGGTCAGTGGTAGACCATCTGCTTTGCATGCGGAAGATCTCAGGTTTGATCTCCAGCCCACAGCAATCAGTTCCACTAGAGCAAATGGTAGCTTTGGAGGGTGGACTGGAGAAGTCCAGGAGTTTCCCAAGACACCCCTCTATCTAGGTTAAGCAAGTCATCGTGTGTCAGTTCTTGTAACCTGAGTGGCAGTTCATAACAGTATTTGTGGTTACATGTGGAATAAGGGGGGAGTAGCACCACTATCCCATGCTGTGTAAAACAGTGCTGCTGGTTTCCAAAAGTCTCTCTTGATTGGCAAGGGGAGCGACCCACTGTCAGATTAAGGCTTCACAAGTGGCTCTGCCAGTCCATGGTCCTGTTCACACACCTGTTCAGCTAAAACACAAAAAGCATTCCTGACTTTCTGCTCAGCAGTTACAATAAATAAATAAAAATATGCAGTTAACAAAATGGAAACTGAGCAGGATGGAGAGAATGCTTGCTAATATACCCCAACAAGCTTTAAAATGGATCTTTCCATTATTAGTATGCAATCAGTTTGGCTGTAGCATAGCCTCAGGTTGTCCAGCTGCAATCTTTGCCACCGTAATTTAGATGTATTTTTTTTAGACATACAAGCAAAGCCCCTTTTGGGCCTGTCTTTGGTCACCCACCCCTCATCGCCCTGGCTGCTCTCTCCCTATGGCCATCCACTTATTCCCATTCCCTTTGCTTACTTGGAAGCAAGTTAATGTGAGATAGTTTGGAAGCTCCTTGGAAGCTCTTGGTGCCACTGCCTTAACAGGAACAGGGATGGAATAATAAGGGACTGTTGGAGATTGAGCAAGGGGCTGGTGGTGGTTTTTATATTCTCCCCAACCCTTTCTGCATCTGGTATGAGGAAGACAAGATTTACCCTTGTAACAACCTCATACTGTAGGCTGAGAGTGTGAGACTGGCTGTGCTTACCCAGCAATGTCCCCTCTAAATTTTTTTCCCCTACTGAGCGGATCAGTTCACATCCTGAATAGAATATAGCTGTTGTAATCTTAAAAAGGGCAATGGCCAGTGCAAGACCCTGCACGGCTCCAGGTTACTGCCGAGCGGGGCTTCCTGTGTTAATGACTGACTGGCCACTCACGCACAGAAGGGAACACTGTTACCCAGGGTCTCTACAGAGCTGAAGCTGGCTCCTTTGAGAACAGGCCAGCAGACTCGTATTTGGTATGTTGCCCTGGCAAGGGAGACTCATGTATGCTGCCCTAAACTGAGATGGGGTAAAAATGTGCTTGATAGTCTTCGATGATACACAGAATGCCAGGAACTCATCCCTGGGTCATATAGTTCAACTTGTTCCCTGCATTAGAATCTTCATTGCCTATACAATGAGGGTCTGCAGGGCGAAGTGAGAGTAAGATCCTTGTGACTCATGCCCCTGGTAACTTGGAGTAGAGCAAGGCATGCTTTAACCACGCCGGGGGGGGGGGGGGATTTAAGGTGATGCCCCCCACCAAATTTGCCCTGGCTCCTCCAGGCCACCTCCTGACAGTCCTGGGGGGAGGAGGAAGTCTGGGCCGAGCAGCGTGGCTGGCGCCCTCCTCCACCACTGCCCTTGCAGCATCCGGTGCCGGAGTAGGGCTGGGAGAGGGAGGAAGCCAGGGGCGAGCGGCATGCTGCCCTCCTCCCTCGCCACGGCTGGCACCAGGGGCGGGGTGTTGGCCTCCCAAACCCCCCCCCCCCCCCCGTTGACAGTCTGTTGGCAGCAGCGCTCCTTGTCTGGGTGGGAGGAAAGGAGGGCAAACCGGGGAGGATCTTCACCAGGGACCCACTTTTCTTCCTGAGGCTCAGCTGCCCCCCAACAACCCTGCTTGCTCTCGGAGTTTCGTCTCTGGAGGTCCCTGCAATCTGGAGGATTCCCCTTCTTTCCCCCCATCCCCCACCGGTAGTCACTGCCCCCTCTTCCCCGCCCCCCCAGAAAAATTTCTGGCTACAGGGCTGGCTGTAATCCTGAACCAGTTTTAAAAGTGAGGGTGGCAAATGTAGTTCTGATGGGCTGAAGTAGTGATTTTAAAACGGATTGGGCAAGCAATGGATTTAGAGCACCATGGTGGGCAACAGGTACCAGAGGCTGCCGTTCTGTACTCATTCAAGCAGGGGGTGTAGTTAAGGCCACGGGGCGCCTGACACGTACGATGATCTTCTGGACTGCTGTTTAAGAGTTCACCATTGTTCTCCTACCCAGAGCCAGCTGCAAAGAATTAGCCCTCTTCTTCCTCATTACTGTTGTGGGGGTATCATCACGGCATGCAGTTTTATAAACTGAGCCTTTTTAGATCCTAGCTGCCTGCAAGTGGTCCTTTCCCAAGGCTCCTTATTTAAATATTGTTCCTGAGCCTCACAACCCTCTCTGCGGGGGGCGGGGGGGGGAGTTGCATAATTTTTAGCAGAATCCAAGCACATGCACGCACACCTTACCTTTGCAACCTTCTGGCCTCTTTAGCTGCTTAGCCTGGAATTTGTAGTTTCCCTCTTGCTCTGTGGACACAAATTGAAATAGAAGGGGAAACAATGGAACAAGACTGGCTTTTTGCAGTGGGATTCTGCTGCCAGGAGCACAGCACCCCCCTCCCCCGCGGAATCTACTGACATCCGAAGAAAAATATGGGGGGGGGGGGGGGAATTCCCGGCGCATTTCCAGTGCTCCCTCTAAGCTGTGGAGTCTTCTGAGCAAAAATTCTACTTTGTGAGCTCCTGGCATTAAAGTTGTGACTGAGCGATTTGGCTGCTGCATAAATTAGTTTGCTCTGGAGCCATCCTTCCTGAGCGAAGACAAAAAGGTGTGAGCTGGAGGCTCAAAAAACCTGTGAGCTAGCTCACACTTACTCAGCTTAGAGGGAACACTGGCCCTGCTGTACTCCGCTGCCTATTTGCTCTCACCCTGACCCCCCACACAGTAAAGGAATAATTTAACTTCCTGCCAGCCCTCAGCATTGATGACATGATTCCTTGTGCCTGGCAAGGGGTTACTGCTGTTTGGCACGTTCCTTTCCAGAAGAACAGGGAAA